ACGGTTGAAGATTAACATTGACTTCCATTTAACATAGCAACTCTTATTCAAAATGGGAAAAACTTACTGTTATGGGACCTTACCCATCATATCATAATGGACTATTCCATACGTCATAAATACTGCGCCTCAAGAGGAAGCAGGGAATTCAGAGTTCAGTCTGAAGTCTGGAGTGAAGTCCGTCAGGAGTCTGTCAGTCAATCTGTCAGTCAATCAGAGCGAACGAGTCAGTCAGTCGAGTCAGAGGCAGACCGAAACAGAGTCGCATTCAGACAATTACTACTAAACCTAACACTTTCTAATTTTCTGCATATATTCCTGTTTGTAATATATCTGTGTTATTCCATATCCGTGTTCGAGTTCTTCTTTATTGGTTCTACCTTGGACTATCACCGTGATACAAGGAACCGGACCATAACACTTACAAAGGAGAATTTTGCCGGTGGTGAAATGGCCACTTGAATGGGGTAATAGAGTTTCATTTTTGTGTAATTCATTTATATGCTCTGTAACTAATATATTGAGCTCTCTTTTTAAATAATATATATTATTAGGATCCATTTAGATCACGGAGTTTTAATTTATATATATATATATATATATATATATATATGAAGAAATATAGTATTAAGGTTTGCTATATTTATGGGATAAAGTGCTCAATATCATTGAGATAGAAAGTGTGTAAATATAAAGTGAACATATTTCCGTCAATATTTAGATTTAAGACAATCTGTTTCATGACTAAGATTTTCGTCATCAATAAATGACGATTGCAAATGAAAGATTTTCTTCAGTTTTATATATATATATATGCAATAGATATAATTCCCCTTCGCCGGGGATGTAACATAAGCGATAAATCAAGTATCGACCATCATAAAGACTGAAAAATAACATTGACAAAGATTATTGTTTAAGGTTGACGGACATGCATGTCTTAATTAGTTTTTTTTTTTTGTTGTTTTTTTACGAATTGGTCAAACCCAAACTCAAACAAAAACATTGTTTTCAATCGTTATGAGTCTACCGATTGAATAGAATTCTGAATGTAAAAATAAAGAAAAAAGTTTTGTTGAAATCGGTTAAAAAATGTAGGAAATCCGATCGCATATATAAACGAACACACACACACAGAGACACAAACAACCTGGGTTTTATAATAAGTATAACTCGATATGAGTTGCCCCCCTTTTATTCTCGCGATGCCTCTTAATTGTATTTTCAAATTGATTTTGTGCAAAAACAGTTGTGTTTTTACAATTTTTTAGCGCTGTCAGAACCACCGCAAGGTAATTTTACGTAGTCCTGTGAAGTTTTGTTGAAATCGGTTGAAAAATGTAGGAAATCCGATCCAATATATAAACGTACAGACACACACACACAACCTGAGTTTTCTAATAAGTTTATCTTTGAAATGCAAGAGTGAACTTCAAACTGATTTGCTTGTTAGAAGCTGCCTAAACAAGACATGTTTTGGAAATCTGCTATTACTCATACGAGAAAGATGTCTTCCCCACCTGTATTGGATTTTCAAGAGGATGCCTTCCATACCCGTCATGGTGCATTTAGTCAGAACTTCACCGTTTCTAATGCAATCGCTCAGTTTCCTGTTGTACGTGGGCAACGCATGTGGGTGGCATCAAGTTCACTGATTTGTCTTCGGTACAGAGTCCAAGATTCTGCAACATAGAGTCGGGATATCAGTACAACTGAGTTGTACACATCAATTTTCACCTTTAACAAAAACATCACGAGTATTCGAAAACCTGTGATAAAGATTACCGAAGCTAGAACTAGACTTTTCAATCCTGTACTCAATTTCTTTGTCCATTTTAGTATCTTTGAATACAATGGATCCAAGACGGGTGAAAGAAGAAACGGTTTTGAAGATCTTTCCCTCAATATAAATAGTGGGAGCAACAGCTGCGGGATAGTTACAGAGAGGATGATGGCTGAGTTCCTTTTTTTTTTTTTTTTTAATGTTGATCGTCAGAGCGAAAGCTTTTGGTGCACGGGAGAATTTGTTAACGATCATTTGCACCTCCATAAGGGTGTGGGCTACACGTGTGTAATCGCCTGCAAAAAGCAGGCCACGAACAGTTTTCATAATCGTCTTAAAAAAAATTTGAAGCGTTGTCGGTTGAATGACCCAACACTTGTCCTAAACTCAAATGTCACGACTTTTTTTTAACATTCTCAAATGCTGTTCCCAGCGTGACGGAAAAAGACAAAGAAAATATGAGAGGTGCAAGACCACAAATTTGTTTTGTTCCATTAAAGACAAGGAATTGTTCGGACTCTTCTTTACTGTATCTGACTTAGGCCATCATCTTCTGAGGGAAAGACATGATGGCACAATGCATCCTTTCAGGAACACCCAGCTTCCTCAGAACAACCCAAATATAAATCCCTTGAAGCGGTATCAAAGGCCTCTGTGAGATCAAAGAAAGTAACAAAAATAAATCTTTGTCAAGCTCTCATGTTTTCTCCTGCAGTTGCTTCCACATGTCCACAGGTCTTTTGCCAGACCGAAAGTCGGACTGAGATTAAGGACAAGAATACATCGGCCACGAAAGAGTTGAGTCTGTTTAAGACGATCCTGCCAAGAATTTTCTCAGCAATACGAAGAAGGGAGATACGTCTATGATAATCAAATTCGCATGCATTGCCTTTGTGTTTATAGAGATGAACAAAAGAAGCGTCTTTAAATTACTAAATAATTTTTACCCTGAATTCCATAGAATTCTGAGATTAAAGAAAAGAAATTTGTATAAAGTTTAAGAATATATATATATATATATATATATATATATATATATATTTCGTTTTCACAAATTTGAATTTATATTTTTTTAAAATTTCAATCTTCCAAAAATGAATCTTTCACGTACATTCATATCTGCTCATGGCGTATCCAAATGTAAACAGATGACGTATATATTGATTATATAAATATACAAAGTCCGATAATTATTTTAAGACATTTTTATGTTTATACATTCTTTTTATAGAAACAAATATTTAAGTAAAATATATGAATGTACGTGAGAGAATCATGGAAGATTGAAGTTTAAAGGCAGTAAATTCGACCTTGCTAACCGAACGTTCCTCTGTGGCCAAATCGGTTAAAGGCACGTCAGGCTATATGACGGTTCCGTATAGGATACGGGTTTGATTCCTGTCGGAAGACGATTATTTTCTATGAAAATTTCTCGGACATTCAGGCCGGTAAATGGTGTTTAATACAGTTTAGCTGAGGATTTATTCTAGTTTATCGTTCTGCTTAGCGTATTGAGCACTCTATGTTTTAGACTTTCTACTTTGTTTGAGTTTTTTTCTTTGGACTTCGAGTTTAAGCGCTTGAGGATTGGTTTCGTATTGTGTTAATGTTTTTGGTTCTTTCTTTTTTTATTTCCAATTTTTTCCTTGGGTACCGATTTGTTCTATTACAAGTTGAGCTATCCGAGGATTTCCAAACGATTATTACCATATATATATATATATATATATATATATATATATATATATACTGTATTGGGGCAGCAGATCACACTCAACAAAATTACATTTCAAATTTGCATCTAGACATTTTGGTTCTGCTGTTAATATTTCGGTCTCCCACGTGGTACGACGTCATAGAAGCGCATCATGAATTTACGACCTGCGTCTGCTATTCTGTGACCGTTATCGTCGCATAGTAAACATAACTGGATATCTTTGATGGTGAATAGCTTTGTTGAAATGTCCATATAACCACAATGAAGATGGCCCATGAGAGCCGAAAGCTTCGACCGAGGAAGAGCGTAATAAAAAATATCCAAATGTTGGACAGTTTTCGTCTTTCTTTTCTCCAGAAATTAAAGCAACTATACGAAGCTTAGAACGGCTCCTAATCAAACATAATAGACATTCGTTGTCTGTTATATTTAACAATATATATATATATATATAATACTGTTTATTATAAACAGAGCATTTACTTAAATACTTGTATCTATAAAAAAGAACGTTAAACATAAAAATGTCTTTAATAAATAAATTGTCGGACTTTGTCCATTTCTTAATATATGACGTCGTTTGTTTACATTTGATACGCCATGAGGAGTTATGAATGTACGAGATTCATGGAAGATTGAAGTTTATAAGCAGTAAATTCGACCTTGACTACCGAACGCACCTTTGTGGCCGAGACGGTAAGGCACGTCCGCGTAAATGACGGTTCCGTATAGGATGCAGGTTCGAATGCTGTCAAAGGACGAATATTTTCTATGAAAATTTCTCGGACATTCAGGCCGGTAAATGTTATTTAATACTGTTTATTATAAACCGAGCATTTACTTAAATACTTGTATCTATAAAAAAAAAAGAACGTTAAACATAAAAGTGTCTTTAATAAATAAATTGTCGGACTTTGTCCATTTCTTAATATATATATAATTTATTCGAAAATTATAACATAAGTATGTTATAAAATCATTTTATAACATATTTATATTATAATTTTCGAATAAATTATATTTGCTCTACTCTGTATTGAGCACTCTTTTAAGAATAGTATTTTTTGGTTATTGGAATTTATTCTGTATAAACCAATCCTATACTTGTATATATATATATATATATATATATATATATATATATATATATATAGTAGATAGAGCGAGAGAGAAAGGGAGAAAATGAAAACATTGTTGAAGATTAATATTGATGCCAATACTTTTTTCTAGTTAGTTTGTCAAATAGTTGTTGAAGTCACATTGGCCAAGGCGAATATCTCTCAAGACAATCCATCACATTGTCAATGGAAAATAAACGTAAAAGAGAAGAACAAAACCAAAAAGAAGAAATAATTGATTATAGTTTCGCGTATCTCTTCAAACGATTTACTTCCTCGTTATTTCTTCAACCAATTCCATTGCATCTGCTCCAGAATTTTGTCAAACTCTGTGAATGTATTTCGTTTTTCTTTTTCAACCGTTTTCTATCATTTTGCAAACATGCGCGCGTATTTCACTGTCGAAGCGATTTGTTTTTTCTTTTTATTATTAACATTCCCTGAACATGAAAGTCTTCATGTGCGTCCTTCCCTCTATCGGATATAAATATGATACAATTTACAGTTGTATAAATGTAAGCAGTCTATCTATCTATCTATCTATCTATCTATCACAATACAAATTGTGTTTCGGCAAACCAGAGAAGTCTATCTATCTATCTATCTATCTATCTATCTATCTATCTATCTATCTATCTATCTATCTATCACAATACAAATTGTGTTTTTGAAAGAAGAGAAATCTATCTATCTATCTATCTATCTATCTATCATTCAATACAAATTTTCTTTTGGACATGACATTTTTTCATATTTTAAGTATCTATCTATCTATCTATCTATCTATCTATCTATCTATCTATATCTATCTATCTATCAATATCACAAATCATGTTTCAACAAACCAGAGAAGTCTATCTATCTATCTATCTATAATCCATCTATCTATCCCAAATATCTATCATATTGTGTTTGTTAAAACACATTTGAAAAGAATCTATCTATCTATCTATCTATATCTATCTATCTATTTCATATTTCTATCTATCTATCTATCTACAATAATTTTTTATGTTTTTTTCAAACCAGAGAAGTCTATCTATCTTTGTCTATCTATCTATCTATCATTTAATACAAATTGTGTTTTTTTCATCACACCTATCAAAAAGTCTATCTATCTATTATATCTATCTATCTATCTATCTATCTATCTATCTATCTATCAAAATACAAATTATGTTTCGGCAAACCAGAGAAGTCTATCTATCTATCTATCTATCTATCTATCTATCTATCTATCTATCTATCTATCACAATACAAATTGTGTTTTGGCAAACCAGAAAATCTATCTATCTATCTATCTATCTATCTATTCTATCTATCTATCTATATTTACAAATTGTGTTTATCACAAAAGATTTAAAAAGAGATCTTTATCTATCTTTTTTTACAAATTCTATTTATCTATCTATCTATCTATCTATCTATCTATCTATCTATCTATCTATCACAATACAAATTGTGTTTTAAACACCAGAGAAATCTATCTATCTATCTATCTATCTATCTATCTATCTATTATCTATCTATCACAATACAAATTATGTTTCAGGCAAACCAGAGAAATCTATCTATCTATCTATCTATCTATCTATCTATCTATCTCAGTCTGTTCATATATCTATCTATCTATCTATCTATCTATCTATCTATCTATCTATCTATCTATCTATCACAATACAAATTGTGTTTTGGCACACCAGAAAAGTCTATCTATCTATCTATCTATCTATCTATCTATCTATCTATCTATCTATCACAATACAAATTATGTTTCGGCAAACCAGAGAAGTCTATCTATCTATCTATCTATCTATCTATCTATCATCAATACAAATTGTGTTTTTTGCACACTCAGAGAAGTCTATCTATCTATCTATCTATCTATCTATCTATCTATCTATCTATCACAATACAAATTATGTTTCGGCAAACCAGAGAAGTCTATCTATCTATCTATCTATCTATCTATCTATCTATCTATCTATCTATCTCAGTCTGTTCATATCTATCTATCTATCTATCTATCTATCTATCACAATACAAATTGTGTTTCGGCAAACCAGAGAAGTCTATCTATCTATCTATCTATCTATCTATCTATCTATCTATCTATCACAATACAAATTGTGTTTTGGCACACCAGAGAAGTCTATCTATCTATCTATCTATCTATCTATCTATCTATCTTTCTATCTATCTATCTATCTATCTATCTATCTATCTCAGTCTGTTCATATCTATCTATCTATCTATCTATCTATCTATCTATCTATCTATCTATCTATCTATCTATCTATCACAATACAAATTGTCTTTCGGCAAACCAGAGAAGTCTATCTATCTATCTATCTATCTATCTATCTATCTATCTATCTATCTGTCTATCTATCACAATACAAATTGTGTTTTATATAATCCTACCTAGGTTTCACCTAAACTCATCTTCAGGGTAAACTGGAGTCAGTTTACCCTGAAGATACGTTTAGGTGAAACCTAAAGGTTTGCCTTGCCCTTTAAGATTTACTCTAGTGCACACACACACACACACACACACACACACACACACACACACACACACACACACACACACATTTATATATATATATATATATATATATATATATATATATAAAGGGAAAAGGTTATAGCAGTTCCAACGAGAGAAAGGGTGTATATCAAAAAGAAGAGAGATACTGCAAACGTTTTTGGCTGTAATGTGGATGTTTTTTTTTTTAAAAATATTATCCTTTATTTTCCATAATTTAGATACACGTGTTTCCGGTCTCGTGACCGTCATCAGGCAAAAGGTGGAGATTTTCACATATTATTAAAAATAATTAGTTTTTTCTCCTTTATTTTTTGGGATGTTAAATATTCTCGAAATGAGACATCATCTTTTGTTTGTGTTAGTGACCCAGATGTCTTTTCTGAACTCTTCGCTTGATGACGGTTACGAGAATGGAAACCCGTGTAGCAAAAATTATGCAAAATAAAGCATAATATTTTTAAAAAACATCCCAAAATGTTTCTCTTTTCTCATATATATATATATATATATATATATATATATATATATATATATATATATATATAAAAATTTAATATTACAAGACATATTAAATCAATATTAAATAAAAAAAAAAAAAAAAAAAAAACCTCAACAACAAGGGGTGGAAGCAACCGGTTTCGCTCCCGCTCGTCAGGCTTCCACGGGAGATTCAAAATTAAAACAAAGAAATGTACAATAAGAATAGGTGGAAAAAAAAAATTACACACATATATATGTATATATATATATGCTTGTATATATGCAAGAAGGAACTAGAGGCAGATGACAGCGAGTCCCAGCAAACACTCACGTTGTTTGCACAAAGAAGGCTTGCGGGACCCGATGTAAAGCTCCTCCAGAACCTTCAGATGAAATACAGAGTGTGACCGGGCCAACACGGTGAACCAGTCGACATTAAATTTGGCGGCACAATCTCTGCTGTTTAAAAGATGTTCGCATATGGCGGAACTGTTTGTTGAGTTTTTTTGTTTTTTTTTAATTATTTAATATTGTTTTAATATGTCTTGTAATATTAAATTTTATACTTTTATTTCGATCATTAAATTTTGTACCAATAAATATATATATATATATATATATTACTTACCCATAGTAATTATCCTATATTGTTTCGGAGCTACCAGGGATTAGTATGGAAGAAACTAGATGCTAAATAATTTTTAAATTATAAATAAATCCCAAAGATATCGGATCTAGGAACGTATCACGATAAACAGAGCATCAAGTATATCTAAATAAGTTATTATTTTTTATATGTGTGTTTGACATTGCCTCTTTGATGTTCTATAACATTTACTAATCTTTCAACCGCTGATTTTGTCAACTTTTCTACTGTTTCAATTTTAACACTTAATTCAGAAGTATTTATTCCTTTCAAGAGATTAGTGCTTGACCAATGGCTTATGTTCTGCTACAATTATTAATATTGGCGTACAAGATCTCTTTTGGTTGGTATCTGCAAAAACTTGGACTATTGCATGAATATTATGACTTTAAATAGTCTTTGACAAAGAGGACAACAATCAGATTGGAAGAATGTGAATATACATATATGTGAATATATATTTTTGTACATCCATAAATTCCATTCATTAATACTTGATTGAAGATGGGGACAATTCTATAATTTGATGTCTTTCATGAACCCGTTTATAATAAGGAGGGCAACAGTCAGATTAGCAGAATGTGAAGGAACATTGTCTTGCATGAATATATTTTTACCCATCCATCAGTTCCATCCATTAATACCTGGATGAAGATAGGGACCATTCTATAATTTGATGTCTTTAAGGAGGACAAGAGTCAGACTTGCAGAATATGAAGGAACATTGTCTTGCATGAATATATTTTTGTCCAAACATCAGTTCCATCCATTAATACCTGGTTGAAGATGGGGACCATTCTATAATTTGGTGTCTTTAAGGAGGACAAGAGTCAGACTTGCAGAATGTGAAGGAACATTGTCTTGCATGAATATATTTTTACCCATCCATCAGTTCCATCCATTAATACCTGGTTGAAGATGGGGACCATTCTATAAATTGATGTCTTTAAGGAGAACAAAAGTCAGACTTGCAGAATGTGAAGGAACATTGTCTTGCATGAATATATTTTTGCCCATCCATCAGTTCCATTCATTATTACCTGGATGAAGATGGGGACCATTCTATAATTTTATGTCCTTCATGAAAGCGGTTTTAATAAGGAGGACAACAGTCAGATTTGCAGAATTTGAAGGAATGTTGTCTTGCATGAATATATTTTTGCCCATCCATTAGTTCTATCCAATGCAGTTCTATATTCATTACTAAAAACTCTAAATGGTACAAGATTATATTAAACAACATTTTACCAGCTTCCTGCACTTTGGTTTTGAACAGATACTAAACACTGTGTGTAATAACCGTCATTAAATAATGCTATATCTTTATCTGCCTGTCTGTATGTACATATGTTCATCTTCATTTATCCTATTTGACTGTTTATAAAACCGTAAACATTCCGCCACTCCATACTATAAAATAACCCCCCAAAATCACTCAACGTCTAATATATGAATTTGAGCACACTCACATGCGCTAATTGTATCCCAAACACCCAACTTTATGGGCTATAATTTTTACCCTAGACGCTCCTTTTTACTTCGAGCGAGTAGATAATAACAGTATTGACCCAAACTACATTATTCTTATTATAATTTTCATTATTAATTCAATACACGTCCAAAACCTGCCGACCCGATGATCAATTTTAAGTTCTACGTTGTCTATTTAAAGTACTATCGTTAAAATCACTTTAAATATAAGAGTCATAAAAATGGCTTTAAAAGGCTGCACATTCCTGCTTATACTCGTGTCTTTGACAGAGAAAAAGGAAATTTGCCCAAGCGACATTCACAGTTGCCCATTAAAGCATGATACCTAATATGGTCCCCTTAATTGACTTTCCCGGTCATCATAGCTCGGGATTCAGGGTTGGACATTGGGAATCTGGGGACAGCAATACAGAACGGAACAATGTAGGAAGGGATTCTTAATGGTGTTCCCACCAACCATAGGAAGGTGGAAGGATTATGATGATGGTCCCTGTCAGAATAACGTAACCAGCCTTAAAATAAAGGAAGAGATCGGGTTAAACAGCTCGACCTGGAAAAAAAAAAAAAAGGGAAGCTTTCCCTTGTTTGAAATACGAGTAGCCATTAAGAACGGTTAAGGAGCTGGATACCTTGAAACTCGACCAGAATTAAAAAGTAAAGAAAATTAGTTTGAAAGAACCTTAACTTCGAAAGAAACCTGGAGAAATATTAAAATGTTTTGGGAACAACGATACGATTTTTATTGGTTCGCTGCTGGAGTAACAAAAAAAAGAAAAAAAAAAGAAAAGAAAAAATGATGAGCGAATACAGGTCACCGCATTCCTACACGTGGCTGGGCCACAATTTTTCAACTCATTCGAATTTGAAAAACCAAGAACAAAATATAATGTGTGAAAAGGAAATTCCAGGAATAATGTCAACCGATAAAGAATGTAACGTACGTCACATATTTATTTTTCAGCAAAAACCAATTAACTTCTGAAAAATTTGACTCATTTCTGACTGGCATAAAAACTGAAAGCTAAGGAATGCGAATTTGGTGAGTTCCAGGACGACTTAGTCAGAGACAGAATTGTACGTGGCATATTAAGAAAAGACACTCACGAATTACTACTCTATCGCCCTGACTTAATGTTAAAAAAAAAGGCCATTGACAAATACCGAACGAGTGAAGCCAATGAGAACGAAATAAAAAAAGTATTAGTGAAGATATATCAATTTCGGCAGTAAACAGGAGTCTGAAAGAAAAATCCCCCCCACGTAAAAAAAAACAAGAAAAATTGAAAAGTTCGTCGTCCTAATATCACCAAAACACCAGCCCTTCATGTTACATTTTATGTGGTAAATGAAGAACAAAAAAGTATTCTACGAAATAATGTCAGGCTTAAGAAAAATCATGACACAAACCCAAACCAGCATTTGTCGCTGTAAACCAACGACGTTTATAAGAGATAATCGCCAAGGAAAGTGATGGCTAATACAATACCTCTTTTTAGATGGCATCACGCTCAAAGCAAACATAACATCCGACTGGACACAAAATATAGTAGCAAATGACACCAAAACCATTGATTTCAAGCTATACGTTGCAAAAAGCGACAAGCGTTATAACCTAGGGAAGGTTACTGAATAGAATAATCACACGAAGGTTGGTAATGAACGATAATACTTAGGACAAGAACAAGACATATAAGATTCGCCAGCGGCGCGGAGAAGAAGTAGTCAACTGCTAGAAGTGAGTCAAGTGAATTCCACAATAAATCTCCAACTGCAGGATATCTACCAACCACCCGACGCAGTCAGATATGTTACAAGACCGAATTTAATGTGGGGTATCAGAGTCCGTAGGCTCGGCCAAAAATACCCCGTAGACCACGTATATAACGGGGTCGGATAGCTGTTCCCCGAGACGAGACTCTACCCTTCGACATAGTCTCGTCTGGGGATCCTCTCTGCCCCGTGGCAGAGAGTTTGACCAGCACTGCTGGATATCTGCCAATCACCTCACGCAGTTAGATGTGGCACAAGGCCAAATTTAACGAGCCTTAGACTTCGTATAAAAAGGGGTCGAGCAGCTGTTTCCCGAGACGAGACTCTGCCCTTCGACATAGCCTCGTCTGGGGATCCTCTCTGCTTTGACCAGCTCAGCTGGAGACGAATCTCCAACTCTAGACCAACATACAGTATTTACTACTATATTTATGTGAATGGGGACATAACCATTATCGTCCGTAGGTATACTACAACACCAATATAATATTCAAGAATGTACTGCATACATTTTACACCATTCCACGACTGAAGAGATACAGTCAACACTTCATTCAACCCGTTCAAGTAAAAACTGAAATTCTCTATCAATAACTAAGTGAAGATCCTGACATTTCAAGGTATTCACCTGAAAGTTTCACCAATCCTGGAAAAAGATGCATTTGCGAACGTAGGACTATTGTTCATATATTATCTC